TTAAAATAAAAATAGGGATGGTGAGATGGCTCAGTGGTCTAAAGCACCTACTTAGAACAAGCTTAGCAAAGCAGAGGGACCGCGGTTCAATCCCCCAGCACCACATGCCAGCCAGCCCTGTCCCCTGGTGGGCTGAGCTGGCCACACACACACACACACACACACACATAAATAAAAAATAAAAAAAAAAAACCAAATGCATTAAAAAATAAATAAATAAATAATAAAATAAAAATAAAAATAAAAATAAAAAATAAAGAAAGAATGGTCATACAAAAACTTTTGCACAAATGTTCCTAGCAACATTATTCATAACAACTAAAAGGTAAAATCAACCCAAATATCTTCTGTGGGAAATTAAAAATATATTTTTTCATTATGAAGTATAGAAAGAAAATTATGATTTTTCTAAAAATTATGAGGCAAGAATTTTAAAAATAAAGAAACACCATTTCATACAACCACTATTCACAAACTTATTTTAATTGCACTCAAATACCTTTTCACCAATGCCATATCCAATGTCAAATCAAGAAAAACTCTTTTTTTAGGGGTCAGATTAGGAAATTGTTTTTTAAACACAACTTGACAGCCTCTATAAGAGCATACCTAAGAGAAAACGGTACTCATTTGTTAGTTCTCATTCATTAGAAACAATTTATGATCAAAAATCTTCTGAAGAAGTGTAAAAACATATAAAGCAGAAATGCTTTAATGAAAGCAAGAGGGCGGAGCTTGAGTCCATCACCATGCAAACCACGCAAACCTAACCTTAACCCAGGGATACAAAGAACTCATTTAAACTAACCCAACACTCTTAACTTCAAAGAAACACGACAACCAGACGCTTAAGTCATTTTCTGAAGTTACAGTGATATCTCAATGGATTTAATATTGATGAATACGTAAAATATGATACAGCTGAACCTGGCTCTTGAAGGACCCCACAGCAGCTCAGAACTCCTGCAACAGATTTAGTGGTCCTTCAGGGCTGGGAGGCCAGCAGAATAAAGTGACTCCTAATGGGAATGAATGACTTATATGGGGATGGTCATTAAAAGGCCCTGAAAGAAACAGATTGTGGTGATGGCTGTACAACTCTATGAATATACTAAAATCCACAGAGTTATACATTTTATTTGGGCAAACTGCATAGTATACAAATTTCATTTTAATAAAGGTATTATTTAAAAAGTTAGCCAGACCTCCCCACACCAAAAAAAATAGCAGAAAGTAATCATGAAATAAAATGGTATACAAGAGGAAACATTAGCAATTCTGTGTGACTACAGCAGTAGTTAGCAAACTTCTACAGAGCCAGACTGTAAATGCTTTAGCTCTCTAAGTCATGTGCTCTCTGTTGCACTAACTCAACTGCCGTTTTAGTGCAAAAGCAGCCAAATGGAATACATAAACGAACAGGCACAGCTATGACCTAATAAAACATTATTTATAGACACTGAATTTGAATCTTAAAATTTTCATGGCCAAAAAATGTTCTTATTCTATGTTCTAATCATTATAAAATGTAAAAAGCATTCCTAGCTCATAATTATACAAAAAAAGATAATTGATCAAATCTTGGCCCAAGGGCCATAATTTACTGACACCTAAACTAAAAAGGTAAAACTGAAACAAGCAGAAGATGAAATTAGAAAAGCAAGGTTACAAAGGACAAAGAGAAGCAGTGAAGAAAAGTGACATGGGACTCTGAAACTCTGACTGGGCCAGACAAATTTTAAAATTCAAATTCAGAGCCTCGCACACACCTCTAATCCCAGGAGACTAAGACAAGAGGACTTCCACAAGTTTGAGGCCATTGTGGTCTACACAGTGAGATCAAGGCCAGCTTGAATTATAGAACAAGACCTTGTCTAAAACAAAAGAAAAAATAAAATAAAATAAAATAAAATAGAGTATTCTTCATACAATAAAAGAAATGGATAGATCTAAAGAAAGAATTAAAAACTATTAGGCTATTCCCTCACTGCTTTCTTAAAGAGCTAAGTGCCTGAACAAGAACAGTAATGGATTTAAGGAAAAGATGACAGACTAGAAAAATACTTACAAAATAAATACTGCCGATAGAGGTAGGAGAAAGAAAACACTAATTTTTAGGTTTCTGGCTTCAGAGGGGCCGGGGAGATGGCTCAGTGGAATAAGCACATCCCTAGCACATGCAAGGGCCTGAATTCAATCCCCAGTTCCAAAAAAAAAAAAATCTATCTATCTATCTATCTATCTATCTATCTATCTATATGAGTATCTCAGAAAGAAGAAAAACAAAACAGGTTTCTGGTGACAGAGGTAGTCACAGAGCTTAGTATGGGATATATGGAGTTTGAATATAGAATAGATGTATTCTTTGCCCAATTTCATTCTCCCTCCATTTGAGTCTCTGTCCTAAGTGGTTCTGCATCTCCTCCTACCAGAGCAGAGGAATATATAGTCTGCAAAAAAAAAAAAAAAAGTCCAATCAGAAAAAAAATACATATTTCTACACTAAAGTTATTGCAACACCATGAGATTAATACAAGTTAACTTTGCCCTCTACGCTTACAACAGGTGCTCAAAGTAATGATCATTAAGCACCAGATATTTCTCAGTCAGCGATTTACTGTTGTGCATGCACATTATTTCCCAGCCCCGTAATTTGGCCCTCTGACTAGGCTGGGTCAACAGAAGAGTAGAAACAGGTTCCCCACTCCAAGCTTAAGTGAGAAGAACAACATATGCCTCTAGATGCATGTCTGCATCTCTGACATTTTCATAAAAAGAACACCACTTGGCTAGTCCAAAGGTAGGAGGCTGAGAGATGTGTGGAACAGAGTTACCCCACAGAGCCCAGGCTGTATAAAATTCCTAATTTACTTGCAAATTCACAGACCCATGTCTGACTTGCCTGAACCCCACCTGCCTCAGTTGAACCCCAAATGTGTGAGCAACAATAAATAATCATAAAGAGGTTTTCTATGTGGCAAAAGCTAACAATGTGCTTAAAAAAATACCTAAGAAATTATGTTCAACCAGAAATTCAGGGAAGAATTTGAACCTAAGAAAAACAGAATTAGAGGTGATGTGATTTTTCAACATTAATTCAAACCTACCCTCCCACCTTTATTTTTGCTGTCTGGGGATTGAACCCACATGCTCATGCACATGAGGTAAACACTCTACCACTGAGATATATATTTCTACCCCTTTTATTTATTTGTCTTATTTTGAGAAAGTCTAAGTTGCCCAAGCTGGCCTTGAACTTAGGATCTTCCTGCCTCAGCCTCCTAAGCAATTAGGATAACAGGTATGCACCACTGCTAGAAATTTACGTTAGTAAAGCTAGTATTCTTAAACAGTATTTCTGTTCTGTGGAAGGCAGGATAACGCTCTCTCCAGGATGTTTATATCTAATTCCTAGAACTTACGAATATGTTATCTTACCTAGCAAAAAGGACTTTGTAAATGTAACCTAGGTTAAAGACCTCAAAATGGAGAAAACAGCCTGTATTATTCATGTGTGTCCAATCTACTCACATGAATCTTTGAAAATGAGAATCTTTTCCCTTCCCCAATTGTTAGGTCCTCACAATTGGATCCCTCCCAACCTGAAGAGAAAAACTCCTACAGACCACCACTCTGTTCAAGTAGGAACCCCACTCCCTCAGCCTGAGAGACTAAAATAAATTTGTTTATCAGGATAACTCCCAGGTCTGGTTCTCAGGCTTACGGGAAACCCTGTAAATCTACATCCTGTAAATCAATAGAATACTACTGTCATCCTGTACTTCCCTCCTCACAAAGAAAGAGACATCAGACCCACCAGTGACCCCTGGAAAAAAGTTGTTTCCACTTCCCCGGTGAGACTCACCCGTCCCATACCTAAGCTAATCTATAAAGCATGCTCTCTTCCTTTGTTCATCATTAAGAGCCTTCTCACACTTGACCAAGCTGCAACCATACTGAAATAAAGATTTTGCTGTTCGCTTTAATCCTCCTAGAGTCCTATGATCTTGGTCACATCTTGCAGTCTAACCTGACAGCGACATTACACAGACACAGAATTATGACACTG